CATGTTACAGTCGAAGCATAATATTACACTTTTTCTAACACATAACGTTACACTTTTTTGATGCATAATGTTACACCTGATCCTAACGCATTACATGACACCGACTTAACGCATTATGTTACACAACTTCCCAGTTTACTATTTCTCTCACCAACACCCTGCTACAACTCTTAACGTTACACCGATGCATGGATCGCCTGCGATTAATGCAAACGCTAACGATAATGACATCACTTTCTGTTGATCTTTGGCCCATTCCAATGCACAGTAGCTTGTGACATCAATATTAGATTAGACAGAAGTTCACGTTTCACTTTTCACGTGTCATCTGTCACAACTTCCTTTCATTACTTGGCTCATGAATGCCGCAAGTGCACAAGGGAACGTCTCCTGCCATGCTTTTGCCAAGGAACAAAAGGAAATTGTTGCAGATGACATGTGAAAAGTGAAACGTGAACTTCTGTGTAAATGCAGCCTTAGGGTACTCTCGCACGTATCAGAAGCATATACGTGAGTGGTAAACGAATCAAGCATTAACCTTTAGGTCTGAAACAGCGCACAGTGCTGGGGAACCTGCACACCAAGCCCTGCTAGGGGGCACTGCAAGCGCTTAGACCTTGAATGTAATGAGAAAGCCATTAGCCAAGTCAACCAGTTGGATATTTGTATCTCCCCGACGACGATAGTCGGGCGATACTATGGTTTAGTTCCAGGGCTGCCGCGGCCGCTGCGGAGGTTTTATGTTCCGAGCTCTGGAAGCCACAATTATCATGGGAATGTTTTCAAATTTTACACAGGCAAAGATATATATGAGACAATGCTCAAGACCAATTTTCGTCAATTTCAGATGTCCAAGATGGCTGCCGGTGGCCATTTTGTCCGAAATTTTTTATGTTCCGGGCTCTGGAAGCCATAATTATGACAGGAATGTTTTCAAATTTTACACAGGTGAAGTTATATATATGACAATGCTTAAGACCGATTTTCGTCCATTTCGGACGTCCAAGATGGCTGCCGGCGGCCATTTTGTCCAAAATTTTTTATGTTCTGGGCTCTGGAAGCCACAATTATTACAGGAATGTTTTCAAATTTTACAGAGGTGAAGCTATATATATGACAATGCTCAAAACCGATTTTTGTCAATTTTTGGACGTCCAAGATGGCTGCCGGTGGCCATTTTTTCCGAAATTTTTTATTTTCCGGGCTCTGGAAGCCACAATTATTATAGGAATGTTTTCAAATTTTACACAGGCGAAGATATATATATGACAGTGCTCAAGACCGATTTTTGTCAATTTTGGACGTCCAATATGGCTGCCGGTGGCCATTTTGTCCGAAATTTTTTATGTTCCGGGCTCTGGAAGCCACAATTATTACAGGAATGTTTTCAAATTTTACACAGGTGAACATATATGAAAATGCTCAAGACCAATTTTCGTCAATTTCAGACGTCCAGTATGGCTGCTGGCAGCCATTTTGTCCGAAATTTTTTATGTTCCGGGCTCTGGAAGCGACAATTTTTACAGGAATGTTTTCAAATTTTACACAGGCAAAGATAGATATATGACAATGTTTAAAACCGATTTTCGTCAATTTAGACGTCCAATATGGCTGCCGGCAGCCGTTTTGTCTGAAATTTTTTATATTCCGGGCTCTGGAAGCAACAAATTTTACAGGAATGTTTTCAAATTTTACACAGGCGAAGATATATATATATATATGACAATGCTCAAGACCGATTTTCGTCAATTTCGGACGTCCAATATGGCTGCCGGCAGCCATTTTGTCCGAAATTTTTTATGTTCAGGGCTCTGGAAGCCACAATTATTACAGGAATGTTTTCAAATTTTACACAGGCGAAGATCTATGACAATGCTCAAGACCGATTCCCGTCAATTTCAGACGTCCAATATGGCTGCCGACGGCGATTTTGTTCGAAATTTGGGGATTGGGGAGACACACGACTCCCTGTGGCAACTGAGTTATCTAGTTTATCCCTGAATTAGTCTACTCAGTAAAATTGCACCAAATGTATAATCAAAATGAATCTTGACTCACTCACGAGAAAACTCGATCAGTTGGAATGTTATGATTTCAGTCCCTCCCCCCAACATCTTATGAAGGTGAGGAGCCCCAATAGCCTAGTGTTTGTCGCGCCTGCTTAAAAGTAAAGGGCAGATCTGGGGTTCAATTCCAGTGTAGGCCACATGGGATTTTTTATCCTTGGTTCTTCACGTCTGTCGCATGGCACTGGTGCCTTGTATGCAGGGCAAGTAAAAGACCCCATGCAAGTGAGGAATATGAGTAGCTTGAGATGGACTCCTCCACACTTATCAGGGCCAATAATGCATTAGCTTCAGCCCTGTTGGAAGACTAAGAAACTAAACCACATGAAGGGCTTCACAGATTACAGCTTCCAAGAAGGGCTTCACAGCTGTGTTCCGTGACGTAGACTTGTATTTAAGGCCATTTAAGTTGGCAATGATAATTATCCTGATGTATTCTACCCATTTAACTGATTCTACCGATTCAACTGTTTGTGAAACCCATCATTTTGTAATAGTTGCAATGGGTGTGAATGACATGGAGGCAGAGTGAAAGAATGAAGGGCAACATGTCATCTTGTATGGGGCGAATGCCATCCCTTGCATAGAGGAAGTTGAATCCCAAGGAAAGGAAAAAATCAAATAGCCAACAGCTTAGGAGTATACTTTTGACGGGCGGGCAATATAGTAATGATGATAATAATGCCTATGTTTAACTGGGCAGTTGTGTAACATTATGCGTTAATGGTAAATGGTAAAATTGAAAACTGCTTCAAATTGGCAACTATTGTTGCCACATCATGTCCAAAGCATCTAGAACAAGTAAGCTTTATCACTTATGTGACCTCAAAATTAGATTTTTGGGACAAATGCCCCAAAATTTTAATTTTTGCGAATTTAGCCATACTTGTCAGAGTAATATTGATGTGCATGGAATAATTGTGAAATAGTAACCCTCACATCTTTTAATACTGGACATCAAAGGAATGGATCATCATTAATGCCTCTATACATCTTTTATGAAATTTTTTATGTCCACAGGGACTTGAGCGCCAATATTTGTATGACCCTCTCTTCCAATGTCCCGTACGACACATGCAGACGGAGAAGATAGTGCGCCAGTTCAGTTTGGGGGTCTACAATCTTTGTGAAACAGGATTCTTTAAATTTTTTAATAAAAACCATTATAATGCAAAATAGAAATGAATTAATTAGCTTCCCCATTATTAATAACAAATATGAACTCTGTCCCGTGCAACACACTTTGACTTTTCATCAGTTTAAGTTTTCTGTTGACCCATGTCTTTTTCTTCAGTCCAATTATAATAATAGATCTAACTGCATCTAATACATCGAGCAGCGACAAGATTAAACCTCTTGCCTAATATAGTGACGTACCCCCTTGTGCTGCGAAAACAGCTTCATCAAACTGATGTCACTTGAATCATTTAAATTCATATGACTCGTGCCACAGTAGCTTTTTTCCTGGTTTGGACTAGAAGGATAGCCTTCACGGACATCGTACATCAATGAGCCTAGAGCGCCAAAAGTCCTGTCGCCAGTGGGGATGAAAGTGATAGTGAAGGAAGACCCGTATGCTATTAGCCTGACTCCGCCAGCCTTCGTACTTCCGCTTAATTTCATTTCGCTTCAGTACTCATTCTGGTCACTCAGAGCTCTGCCTCGTTTACCACGGCAGAAAATACGCCGGACCAACCAACGAACAGAAGGCGTGGCCGAGAGCCATGACGTCGCTGCTGCGCCGAGTTTGAGATTGTAGTCTCCGAAATCAACAATGGCCACGGACACAGCTACACGGGAAATCCCTGGTATCAGCAACTTATAGCCACATCAAGATGAATGTTTGGTTAGTTTTTTGAATGGAAATGATGTTGTAGCGCTACTCCCTACAGATTTCGAGAAAAGTTGTCATATCTACTTAATATCCATCATGAAACACATGAAATAGGCACCCTGTTCATCTCTGTGAGACAGCCGAACCACCTCAGCAAGCTTGTAGCTTCTAGTGTAATATTGCTCGCGAATTTCACACTATTTAAATTAGCAGCGAACATTTTAAAAGCCGTGTTTTTGTTCATGTCACAAGACCTCTTCGCTGTCTCTGTGTTATGTTGTCATTATCATTGAATGAAATGGCTGACTGAGACAGCCAAACCCTTAGAGCCAAACTGTGTCACTATAAAGTTAGATAGCGAGCTGGGTATGATGTTAACGCAAGTATGGTTAACGGTTCGGTTTTCGTGTCAATGCAGATTTCGTCCTAATGTAAATAATGCTTTATTTTCGCTGATTCTGCCGTTGGTTTCGGGTCTCTTACATTTTTAATTTTTTTAATAACAGCAGTATCGGCAGGAAAAATGATAGCTCAGCAGTTTGTTTCATGTAAGGAGAACAGACAGAGCACCTTTGGTTCTTTTAAGTGAATGAGTGAAGACTAAAATTTGGTAGATGGGCATATGTATGAGTACAGTATTAACTTTAATGTACTGATCAGTTTGTTTTCGCTGCATTCCTGGTATGAAGGACTGTGTTTACAGTGGAAGTACTAGGCGGACGAGCTAGAGCATAATATACGTCATCGCCAAACGTTAATGATAAGTATACGGGTACACCAATGATTTTAAACATCTGACAAGCGCCCACCCACCAGGAAGTAAACACTTGTCAATGACGACTGTCCAGACTCTGTGTACGAAGCAAAGCGAAGTAGCAGAGTCTGGTTTTACCAGGCTAAGGATTCAATGCTCTGCATCCTCACATCAACTTCTCCGCATTGCTCATCAAGCTTCAATAGACTGACAGTTTCTGATTCAAAGTTAAAGCCTTCCCAGGAGTACCAGCTACTCTCCAAACACTCAAGCAAGCAGGCAAAATATTTCAGTTTGAAGACTACCATGATCTTACTCGAGAGTGCTCTATCATAGGGCTTTTACTGGTTCCATGTTATAATGGTTAGCACTCTGAATTCTGAATCCAGTGATCTGAGTTCAAACCACGGGGGAGCCTTGTTTGTTAAAAAAAAAGGTGCTTTGAGAAGGTACTCTATGCTTATTTCCTCTGTTTTACTGCAGAAGTCTTGCTTTTTAGTCTTGTGAACATTGCAGAAGGCATTTAGTCTATCATTTTTCTTTCCAGATTATCCCCTTGTTGCTTGTCTTGTGGGATTCCTGCACATACCTTATTTTGTCAATGCAATCGTAGTTTGAACAGTAAGATTGTAATCCTGGCCACCATCATATCGCTCACAGTCAATATTTACCAGAATTCCACGTGGAAGGGTTCTCCACTTGAGCAAGTAAACGCTTCACATGAGGCTTTCCATGTTGGTTGGGAAACTGAGTTGCACAGCTTTTTCTAAAAAAGATAATTAGTCATCTGTTTGAATCTTTCACACTCTTTTCCGTCATTTCAAAATAGGGTTAAGAATAGAATTCATCCATGTACGTTCACTCCTTTATGAGCGATACTCAAATGTGCAGTTTGTACTAATCTCTCTCGATGACCCTCGACTAACAATGAATGCTGAGGTTCAAGATGTAACGGTCTACACTCTGGACTTAAAGTCCCCCATTTTGAATGCAAATGTCAGTCAATTTGGCATTTACGAATTTCCCGTGAAATGAAGCTAGTGATTTGCATATCCTTACTGGTGGTACAAGACTAGAGCTTTGATGTTGGATTGAAATTGTAATGTGGTAAAAAGCCACTAGATGGCAGTATTGACATTTTTTTTTGTTAAGCAAGTCTGGAACTAGGTTGGGCATGTCCTGGGCATGCCTCAGAGGGGAAAGTCCCAGAAATGGGAGGGGGCTGGACAAGAGTATATAAGGAGAAAAATTGAGAGAGTAGTTAGTTGGAGAAATTGCAAGGAGAAATTGTGGAAGGATGCATTTGACCAGACCTGTCACTCTTTTCAAGACCTGTGAAGCTTTTTGTGGATTTTTGCCTGTGTTGGAGCATTTTCCTGTCCCAAGGCATCGCAATATAGCAGCCCATCTCCAGTACAAAGGAACTGTAAATATCTTATTTTTTATTTGATTTCAATCTTGGTCAGTAGGGTATAGTGTCAATTAGTTCTGTTTGTTTACTTAAATCTGTTGAAGTTTCAGAATTTTGTCTGTCATCCCTTGCTGTCCGTGACGCCATAACAAATTGGGGCCATAACAAATTGGGGGCTCGTCCGGGATAGACCATTGTGCGAGTCATTTATTGAAAATCTAAAATTTCAAATTGTGAAATTGTTTTTTGAATTTTCCTCGATATATATTGGCAGATGAACAGCAATGGATGATTTCTTGGCATCACCAACCGTAGAGGTTTTGAAGTCTTTTAAAAAGACAGAACTGCTAGAAATACGCAGACAGTTAGAGCTGACAGATGTAAAACCAGCCATGCGAAAAGCAAGACTGGCAAGAGAGATTGTTGAATATTACATTGATGAAAATGTGTTTGCACCAGGAGATCTGGAACAGTTTCCAGTGGAAAATCTAAATGTAGAATTGGAACTTAAATTAAGAATGCTAGAGATAGAAAGGGAGGAAAAAGAAAAACAAAGAGAGTTCGAGAGAGCAGAAAGAGAGAAAGAAAGGCAGTTTGAGTTAGAAAAATTATCAAGAGAAGAGAAAAAAAGAGAGAAAAGAAATTGAGGAAAAAGAAAAACAAAGAGAATTTGAGAGAGAGAAAGAGGAAAGAGCAGAAAGAGAGAGATAGAGACAGAGAGATTTCAATTTAGAAAAATTAGAGAAGAAAGGCTCCAAATGGAGCTACTAAAAATCAAAATTCAGGCTGAAAACAAATTTCGGGCTAGCCAGGAGGTAAAGCTGGTGCCTCCATTCTCAGAAAAGGAGGTTGATAAGTATTTCCAGTGCTTCGAGAAGGTAGCTAAGAGTTGTCAGTGGCCAAAGGAACACTGGCCTCTGATGTTGCAAACTGTCCTCAAGGGTAAAGCTCAACAAGCCTTTTCGGCTTTGTCTGCAGATGATTCCTCTGATTATGAGGTTGTCAAAAAGGTTATTTTGACAGCTTATGAGTTGGTTCCAGAGGCTTACCGACAGAGATTCAGAGGTCTGAAGAAATCTGACAAACAGACTTATGTTGAATTTGCTAACGAGAAGAAGGTTTGCTTTGAGCACTGGTGTACTTCTATGGAGGTCAAGGATGATTTCAACTCACTAAAAGAGATGGTGTTAGTTGAAGAATTCAAGAACTGTGTCAAGGATGATATTAAGACCTACCTTAATGAAAAGCAAGCACTGAATTTGCAATCAGCTGCCAAGTTTGCAGACGAATATGTTCTCACACATAAGTCCAAATTTCAGTCTAGCAGTAACAATAGATGGTCCAAATTTCAGAAGAAAGGTGACGGTAATACCCAAGATTCCTCACACAAAGACAAAGGCAAATCTGGTGATGGTGCTCAGAAATCCAGTCAAAGGTCTGATCAAAGTGTGAAAGCTGACAGTGACAAAAGTGGTCTAGTTTGCAATTATTGCAAGAAATCTGGTCATGTTACAACTAACGGTTGGTTCCTTAAAGCTAAGAAAGAAAAAGAAAAGGATACCAAACCCAATGCCTTTGTGAAGACAAGGTTAGAAACCCTTGTAGTAGATGACCGATCTGCTAAATTGCCTGCTCCTTGTGAGGCTAAGAAGCCTGATACTGCTGACTTTGTGAGGGAGGAATTTCTTCCATTTGTGTCAGAGGGATTAGTGGCTCTGAATGAGCATTCTCCTCCTGTCCCCATATATATCCTAAGGGATACCGGAGCTTCTCAGTCACTTTTGTTGATGGACTCCTTGGAGTTACGTGATGAGACCGCTTCTGGGGATTTCATACTTGTACAAGGTATTGAAGGGAGGACTGTATCTGTACCCCTGCGCTCTGTATTCTTGAAGTCAGATTTAGTTACAGGACAGGTAAAGGTGGGACTTATGTCAAGTCTACCTATCAAGGGTGTTTCTCTGTTGCTAGGCAATGACCTGGCTGGGGGCAATGTAGTTCCCCTGTTCATCTTACTTCAGCCCGAGCACTGAAGATGGCGATGAAGACCCATCTCTGTATCCTTCCTGTGCAGTGACTCGTGGTATGGCCAAGAAGGCTCAAGAAGAAGATGATGTGGTGCCGTCCAGCACCTTGAATAGTCATGACTCAGGTGGTTCGCCTCATGACTCTGTTCAGCCTACTGTGGTTTCTCCGTTTGAGGACTTATCAGACACTTTTATCAGTTCTCTGTTCAGCCAGCCAGATGGGTCTGGTGATTCTGATGTGTCTGGAGACTTGTCTCTGTCCAGAAAGCGGTTGATTCAGGAGCAAACCAATGATCCTGAAATTTGTGTACTAAAGAAGAGAGCCCTTCCTGATGAAGAAATAGACACAGTTCCAGTTAGGGTATTATCTCAAGGATGGAGTGTTGATGCGAAGTGGCGCCCTCCTGATATCCCTGCCAATGTAGATTGGGCAGTGGTCAAGCAAATTGTTGTTCGAAGGTCTACAGGAATGAGATCTTAACAATGGCTCATAGTTTGCCTTTAGGAGGTCATCTTGGTGTTAACAAGACTGTTGACAAGATCATGAAACACTTCTTCTGGCCTGGACTTCGAAAGATGTTTCCAACTTTTGCAAAACCTGTCACACTTGTCAGGTAGTTGGAAAACACCAGTTAGACCCACCTGTAGCTCCATTGAAGCCTATCCCAGCATTTGGGGAGCCCTTCTCCAAGGTCATTGTTGATTGTGTTGGTCCATTACCCAAGACTAGATCTGGAAATCAGTACTTGTTGACAATCATGTGTGCATCTACCAGATTCCTGAGGCCATACCCCCCACGCAACATCAAGGCAACTGCAGTCTCGAAGGCTTTGATAAAGTTCTTCACGTTGTTTGGCCTTCCCAGGGAAATTCAGTCAGATCAAGGTAGCAATTTCACTTCCGGATTGTTTCAGCAGGTTGTGTATGAACTAGGTGCGAAACAGATTCTTTCCAGTGCCTATCATCCAGATAGTCAGGGTGCCTTAGAGCGGTTTCATTCCACTCACAAGACAATGATGAGGACTTATTGTTATGACCATGAGAAAGACTGGGATGAAGGTGTTCATTTGCTGTTGTTTGCAGCTAGAGAAGCAGTGCAGGAGTCTACTGGATTCAGTCCGTTTGAGCTAGTGTTTGGCCATGAAGTGAGAGGACCTTTGCTATTGTTGAGTGAACAATGGCAAGAGAAAGAGCCGCATATCAGTCTGTTAGACTATATTAGCAAGTTCAAGGAAAGACTGTGTGCAGCTTGTGACCTAGCCAAAGAGAACTTGAAATCAAGTCAGGGAAAAATGAAAACTTGGTATGATCATAAGGCTAGAAGCTGTGAGTTTAAACCAGGAGACAAGGTCCTTGTGTTGTTTCCCTTGCAGTCCAATCCATTGCAGGCTAGATTTCATGGTCCTTATGAAGTTCTGACAAAACTCAATGATCTCAATTACATTGTGAAGACTCCAGACAGGAGAAAGCCAAAACAGTTGTGTCACATTAACATGCTGAAGCCTTATCATGATAGGAATGCTAGGGGTTGCAGCTGTCACTTCAGATCCTCCTATGGCCAAGACTTGTGAAGATGAGGGGAGTTTCAAGATGATGAACCTAGAATTAAAAGCTGAAGTTCTTTCATGTAAATTGTCAAATTCTGAAGTGTTGCAAAAATCTTGATGTAAAAAACTCCAGCACTTAGAACCCTCACAGAAAGATCAGTTTGAGAGGTCGATCAAGAAATATAAAAATCTATTTCCTGATGTTCCAAAGAGAGTTTCTATAGCCTCTCATGATGTAGATGTTGGTGATGCCAAACCAATAAAACAGCATCCGTGCGGATGAATCCTGAGAAGAGAAAAGATTGCTGAGAAAGAGGTTGAGTACATGTTAGAACATGATATTATCAGACCCTCTAACTCAGATTGGAGTTCACCCTGTGTTCTAGTTCCAAAACCTGATGGAAGTACTAGATTCTGTACAGATTATCGCAAAGTCAATGCTGTAACTAGAACTGATGTGTTTCCAATACCTAGGATTGATGATTGTATCGATAGAGTAGGGCAAGCAAAGTTTCTGACCAAGATTGATTTATTGAAGTGTTATTGATGTGTGCCTTTAACTGAGAGGGCCAAGAGCATCTCTGCTTTTGCCACACCATCTGGGTTATACCAGTATGAAGTCCTACCCTTTGGCATGAAAAATGCCCCAGCCCGTTCAAAGGATGATACAGTCTACAATCGCCGGATTGCCACACACAGGTGCGTGCATCCACGACCTGATCACATGGAGTGACTCCTGGGAAGAACATCTGAAAGATGTAGAGATGTTGTTCCAGCGCTTTGACCCAGGCTAACCTGACTGTTAACCTGAACAAGAGTGACTTTGGCTGTGCTACTGTCACGTATCTTGGCTCACGCCATAGGCCAGGGTAAGGTGGCACCATAAATGCTAAAGTCCAAGCCATCATGGACTTTCCAGTTCCTGACAACAAAAAAGCTTTGCGCTTCCTTGGAATGATCGGGTACTACCCCAAGTTCTGCAAGAACTTTGCTGAGATTGCTCTCAGTCTCACCAACCAACTGAAGAAAGGCGTAAAGTTCACTTGGGATGAAGCATGCCAAAGAGCCTTCGATCGCCTGAAGTCTCTGCTGTGTCACTTCCCCGTGCTCAAATCTCCTGACTTCAACAAACCGTTCTCCATGGCGGTCGATGCTAGCAACCAAGCTTGTGGATCTGTGCTCCTACAGAGAAGTGACTCTGATGACATTGAGCATCCGTGGCATACTTCTCCAGGAAGTTCAATCGCCACCAAAAGAACAATTCCACAATTGAGAAGGAGCTGTTGGCTCTGGTTCTATCCTTACAACACTTTGAGGTTTATGTTTGTACAGGGCAAAAGCCAATGATTGTATATACTGACCACAATCCGTTAATGTTTTTGAGTAAGATGAAAAACAAGAATCGGAGATTGTTGAATTGGAGTTTGATTTTACAAGAGTTTGACTTGGAAATTAAGCATGTAAAGGGTGCTGACAATGTAATTGCCGATTGCTTATCCCGTGTTTGAATATGTGTATATATATCACCTGTGTTTATTAGCATATTGTATTATATGTATATATATATATACAAGTGTTAACTTAACCATTTTTGTATTGACAAGAAAAATTTTGCCTTTATGAGTCAAAATTTTTCCCTTTTGGAATGGAGGTGTAATGTGGTAAAAAGCCACTAGATGGCAGTATTGACATTTTTTTTTGTTAAGCCAGTCTGGAACTAGGTTGGGCATGTCCTGGGCATGCCTCAGAGGGGAAAGTCCCAGGAATGGGAGGGGGCTGGACAAGAGTATATAAGGAGAAAAATTGAGAGAGTAGTTAGTTGGAGAAATTGCAAGGAGAAATTGTGGAAGGATACATTTGACCAGACCTGTCACTCTTTTCAAGACCTGTGAAGCTTTTTGTGGATTTTTGCCTGTGTTGGAGCATTTTCCTGTCCCAAGGCATCGCAATATAGCAGCCCATCTCCAGTACAAAGGAACTGCACATATCTTATTGTTTATTTGATTTCAATCTTGGTCAGTAGAGTAGAGTGTCAATTCGTTTTGTTTGTTTAATTAAATCTGTTGAAGTTTCAGAATTTTGTCTGTCATCCCTTGCTGTCCGTGACGCCATAACAAATTGGGGCCATAACAAAATCAAATAAGCTACCTTGTCACAGTTGGTCACCACATTACTGCTCGGACATACTTGCCTTTGAAAATGGTATCAGTTATGCAAATGCTTCTTTGTCAGATGAGAGTTGTCATTTTAAAGTAACTGCATTATGATCATACCTAATTAGAACAGAGTGAAAAAAATAATTGCTTGGAATTATTCTAAATGAGAGATGAGCCTGAATGTTTGTAACTTAGCAGAAAAATTTTGAATTCATGGAATGAATGACCAAATGCGGGGCTTTACAGCAAGTTTTATGGGGATGTAGCTCCGTGGGAGAGTGCATGCTTCGCATGTATGAAGTCCTGGGTTCAATCCCCAGCATCTCCATTTGGATGGGTAGTGCTTTCAACTGCCTGTTTCATCATGACAGGACTGTTTTTCCTTAGGCAGCATGCCCAATTTTCATGGAAAACGCAAACCCCCAAAAAGCCACTAAAATTGTTTAATTTGAAGCAGGCCGTCATCTTTCTCATGAGTGCTCCGATATAGAGGTTCTGTTGGTTCCATGGTGTAATGGTTAGCACTCTGGACTTTGAATCCAGTGATCTGAGTTCAAATCTCGGTGGAACCTCGCTTGCGAAAAAGAAACAAGCTTTGACGACATACACTTTGCTGATTTCTTCTTTTTCAATGCAAAGTCTGGCCTTTTGGTCTTGTGAAAATTCCAAAAGTCATTTAGTCTAACTTTTTCCTTTCAGATTATTCGCTTGCTTGATTGTCTTGTGGGATTCCAGTACATACCTTATTTTGTCAATGCCATTGTACTTTGAACTGTAAGACTGGAAGTCTGGCCACCATCCTATCGCTCACAGTCAATATTTACCAGTATTCCACGTGGAAGGGTTCTCCACATGTGCAAGTAAATGTTTCACATGAGGCTTTCCATGTTGCTTGGGAAACTATGTTGCACAGCTTTTTCTAAAAAGATGATTATTCTTCTGTTTGGATCTTTGGCATTATTTTCTGTCATTACAAAATATGGTTAAGAAAAGAATTCATCCATCTACATTCCCTCGCATATTGGCGGTACTTAAAAGTGCTTTCTGTACAAATCTCTCTCGGCGACCCTCGACCAACAATGCATGCTGAGGTTAAAGATGTAACGGTTTACACTCTGAACTTAGGACCCCCATTTTGAATGTAAATGTCAGTAGAGTTGTCATTTCCAAATACCCTGTGAAATAGAGCTACTGATTTGCATATCCTTACTGGTGGTACAAGACTAGAGCTTTGATGTTGGATTGAAATCAAATAAGCTACCGTGTCACACTTGGTCACCACATTAATGCTCGGACATACTTGCCTTTTAAAATGGTGTCAGTTATTTAAATGCTTCTTTATCAGATGAGAGTTGTCATTTTAAAGTAACTGCATTATGGTCATACTTAAGTAGAACAGAGTGAAGAATTTGATCGCTTGGAATTGTTCTAAACGAGAGATAAGCCTGAATGTTTGTAACTTAGCAGAAAAATTTTGAATTCATGGAATGAACGACCAAATGCGGGGCTTTACAGCATGTTTTATGGGGATGTAGCTCAGTGGCAGAGCGCATGCTTTGCATGTATGAAGTCCTGGGTTCAATCCCCAGCATCTCCATTTGGGCGGGTAGTGCTTTAAACTGCCTGTTTCATCATGACAGGACTGTTTTTCCTGAGGCAGCATGCCCAATTCTCATGGAAAACGCAAAGCCCCAAAAAGCCAGTAAAATTGTTTAATTTGAAGCAGGCAGTCATCTTTCTCATGAGTGCTCCGATTTAGAGGTTCTGTTCGTTCCATGGTGTAATGGTTAGCACTCTGGACTCTGAATCCAGTGATCTGCGTCCAAATCTCAGTGGAGCCTTCTTTGTTAAAAAGAAAGATGCTTTGAGAATGTACTCTATCCTTATTTCCTCTGTTTTCCTGCAGAAGTCTTGCTTTATAGTCTTATGAACATTCCAGAAGGCATTTAGTCTATCATTTTTCTTTCCAGATTATCCCCTTGTTGCTTGTCTAGTGGGATTCCTGTACATACCTTATTTTGTCAATGCAATCGTAGTTTGAACAGTAAGATTGTAATCCTGGCCACCGTCATATCGCTCACAGTCAATATTTACCAGTATTCCACGTGGAAGGGTTCTCCACATGTGCAAGTAAACGTTTCACATGAGGCTTTCCATGTTGGTTGGGAAACTGAGTTGCACAGCTTTTTCTAAAAAGATAATTAGTCATCTGTTTGAATCTTTCACACTCTTTTCCGTCATTTTAAAATAGGGTTGAGAATAGTCTTCATCCATGTACGTTCACTCCTTTATGAGCGATACTCAAATGTGCAGTTTGTACTAATCTCTCTCGATGACCCTCGACTAACAATGAATGCTGAGGTTCAAGATGTAACGGTCTACACTCTGGACTTAAAGTCCCCCATTTTGAATGCAAATGTCAGTCAATTTGGCATTTACGAATTTCCAGGGAAATGAAGCTAGTGATTTTCATATCCTTACTGGTGGTACAAGACTAGAGCTTTGATGTTGGATTGAAATCAAATAAGCTACCTTGTCACAGTTGGTCACCACATTACTGCTCGGACATACTTGCCTTTGAAAATGGTGTCAGTTATGCAAATGCTTCTTTGTCAGATGAGAGTTGTCATTTTAAAGTAACTGCATTATGATCATACCTAATTAGAACAGAGTGAAAAAAATAATTGCTTGGAATTATTCTAAATGAGAGATGAGCCTGAATGTTTGTAACTTAGCAGAAAAATTTTGAATTCATGGAATGAATGACCAAATGCGGGGCTTTACAATATGCTATGGGCATGTAGCTCAGTGGGAGAGCGCATGCTTTACATGTATGAAGTCCTGGGTTCAATCCCCAGCATCTCCATTTGGGCGGGTAGTGCTTTCAACTGCCTGTTTTATCATGACAGGACTGTTTTTCCTTAGGCAGCATGCCCAATTCTCATGGAAAAAGCAAGGCTCAAAAAGCCAGTAAAATTGTTTGATTTGAAGCAGGCCGTCATCTTTCTCATGAGTGCTCCGATTTAAAGGTTCTGCTGGTTCCATGGTGTAATGGTTAGCACTCTGGACTTTGAATCCAGTGATCCGAGCTCAAATCTCGGTGGAACCTTTTGCGAAAAAAGCAGCGCTTTGATGACATACACTTTGCTGATTTCTTCTTTTTTTTCAATGCAGAAGTCTTGCCTTTTGGTCTTGTGAACATTCCAAAAAGTCATTTAGTCTAACTTTTTTCTTTCAGATTATTCGCTTGCTTGATTGTCTTGTGGGATTCCAGTACATACCTTATTTTGTCAATGCCATTGTACTTTGAACTGTAAGACTGGAAGTCTGGCCACCATCCTATCGCTCACAGTCAATATTTACCAGTATTCCACGTGGAAGGGTTCTCCACATGTGCAAGTAAACGTTTCACATGAGGCTTTCCAAGTTGCTTGGGAAACTATGTTGCACAGCTTTTTCTAAAAAGATGATTGTTCGTCTGTTTGGATCTTTCGCATTATTTTCTGTCATTACAAAATATGGTTCAGAAAAGAATTCATCCATCTACAGTCCCTCGCATATTGGCGGTACTTAAAAGTGCTTTCTGTACAAATCTCTCTTGGCGACCCTCGACCAACAATGCATGCTGAGGTTCAAGATGTAACGGTTTACACTCTGAACTTAGGACCCCCATTTTGAATGTAAATGTCAGTAGAGTTGTCATTTCCAAATACCCTGTGAAATAGAGCTACTGATTTGCATATCCTTCCTGGTGGTACAAGACTAGATCTTTGATGTTGGATTGAAATCAAATAAGCTACCTTGTCACACTTGGTCACCACATTAATGCTCGGACATACTTGCCTTTTAAATGGAGTCAGTTATTTAAATGCTTCTATGTCAGATGAGAGTTGTCATTTTAAAGTAACTGCATTATGGTCATACTTAAGTAGAACAGAGTGAAGAATTTGATCGCTTGGAATTGTTCTAAACGAGAGATGAGCCTTACGGTTTGTAAATTTGCGGAAAAAAATTGTGCATTTATGAAATGAACGACCAAATGCTGGGCTGACCAGTTTGTTTTGTGGGGGTGTAGTTCAGTGGTAGAGTGCATGCTTTGCATGTATGAAGTCCTGACTTCAATCCCCAGCATCTCCATTTGGATGGATGGATAGTGCTTCTTGTAGGCTATTAACTGTTTTCCCCTTTAAATTGCCTCTTTTGCCTTGAAAGGACTGTGTCTCATTAGGCAGCATGCCCAATTCTGATGGGGAACGCAGGCTCCCGAAAAAAGCGCAGTGGCCCAATGCGCAACTTGCATCTATCATGTTTACATTGTGACGAGTGTGAAGGCCAGCACCTCTCAAATGAATACCCTGCCAAATGTTGGCAGGCTTGTCATACCGGATGTCATGGAATCAATCAACCTTTGGGGGTTGTAGCTCAGTTTGAGAAAGAATGCTTCACATGCGTGAGGTCTAAGCTTAAACATGTAGCATCTTCACAGTGGCTTTTTGCTTTGCTCTTCAACCCTCAATGCAGGGACACTGGTTTTCTTATCAAAATAATTAGGTTTGTAGGGGTCAAGTTTTAAATAAAGTGTGATACAAGCTGCCATGCAGTTATGTAGTTTTTCAATGATCGTCTCTGTCATTGAAGGAAACAAGGGATCCAACTCCAATGTGTCCTGTGTGAAAGTGAAATGTCCCTAAACTCTCTCAATCAGGCCATTAATGTTGGTTTTTACTTTGCCTTCAATAATTTAAATGAGCTCTTAAATGCTGTATTTTCTGTTCACTCATGTTTCTCTTGTCTAATGACCTTTGGTATGAAGATCTGAAACCATTTGTAGCAAGAAATATGCGAAAATAGACAACATCACCAGTGAGCAAATACTTCTTCACAATTTCAGTATGAGGTTGAGGGTTCAATGCTCTGCATCCTCACATCAACTTCTCTGCATTGCTCATCAAACTTCAATAGACTGACAGTTTCTGATTCAAAGGTAAAGCCGTCCCAGGAGTGCCAGCTACTCTCAAAACACTCCAGCAAGCCTGCAAAATATTTCAATTTGAAGACTACCATAATATTATTCCAGAGCGCTCTGTGAGAGGCCTTTTATTGGTTCCATAGTGTAATGGTTAGCACTCTGAATCCAGCGATCCGAGTTCAAATCTCGGTGGAGCCTTCTTTCTTAAAAAGAAAGATGCTTTGAGAATGTACTCTATCCTTATTTCCTCTGTTTTCCTGCAGAAGTCTTGCTTTATAGTCTTGTGAACATTCCAGAAGGCATTTAGTCTATCATTTTTCTTTCCAGATTATCCCCTTGTTGCTTGTCTAGTGGGATTCCTGTACATACCTTATTTTGTCAATGCAATCGTAGTTTGAACAGTAAGATTGTAATCCTGGCCACCGTCATATAAACTCACAGTCAATATTTACCAGTATTCCACGTGGAAGGGTTCTCCACATGTGCAAGTAAACGTTTCACATGAGGCTTTCCATGTTGGTTGGGAAACTGAGTTGCACAGCTTTTTCTAAAAAGATAATTAGTCATCTGTTTGAATCTTTCACACTCTTTTCCGTCATTTTAAAATAGGGTTAAGAATAGTATTCATCCATGTACGTTCACTCCTTTATGAGCGATACTCAAATGTGCAGTTTGTACTAATCTCTCTCGATGACCCTCGACTAACAATGAATGCTGAGGTTCAAGATGTAACGGTCTACACTCTGGACTTAAAGTCCCCCATTTTGAATGCAAATGTCAGTCAATTTGACATTTACGAATTTCCCGTGAAATGAAGCTAGTGATTTTCATATCCTTACTGGTGGTACAAGACTAGAGCTTTGATGTTGGATTGAAATCAAATAAGCTACCTTGTCACACTTGGTCACCACATTACTGCTCGGACATACTTGCCTTTTAAAATGGTGTCAGTTATTTAAATGCTTCTTTGTCAGATGAGAGTTGTCATTTTAAAGTAACTGCATTATGGTCATACTTAAGTAGAACAGAGTGAACAATTTGATTGCTTGGAATTGTTCTAAACGAGAGATGAGCCTTCAGGTTTGTAAATTTGCGGAAAAAAATTGTGCATTTATGAAATGAACGACCAAATGCTGGGCTGACCAGTTTGTTTTGTGGGGGTGTAGTTCAGTGGTAGAGCGCATGCTTTGCATGTATGAAATCCTGACTTCAATCCCCAGCATCTCCATTTGGATGGATGGATAGTGCCTCTTGTAGGCTATTAACTGTTTTCCCCTTTAAATTGCCTCTTTTGCCTTGAAAGGACTGTGTCTCATTAGGCAGCATGCCCAATTCTGATGGGGAACGCAGGCTCCCGAAAAAAGCGCAGTGGCCCAATGCGCAACTTGCATCTATCATGTTTACATTGTGACGAGTGTGAAGGCCAGCACCTCTCAAATGAATACCCTGCCAAATGTTGGCAGGCTTGTCATACCGGATGTCATGGAATCAATCAACCTTTGGGGGTTGTAGCTCAGTTTGAGAAAGAATGCTTCACATGCGTGAGGTCTAAGCTTAAACATGTAGCATCTTCACAGTGGCTTTTTGCTTTGCTCTTCAACCCTCAATGCAGGGACACTGGTTTTCTTATCAAAATAATGAGGTTCGTAGGGGTCAAGTTTTAAATAAAGTGTGATACAAGCTGCCAGGCAGTTATGTAATTTTTCAATGATCGTCTCTGTCATTGAAGGAAACAAGGGATCCAACTCCAATGTGTCCTGTGTGAAAGTGAAATGTCCCCAAACTCACTCAATCAGGCCATTAATGTTGGTTTTTACTTTTCCTTCAATAATTTAAATGAGCTCTTAAATGCTGTATTTTCTGTTCGCTCAT